TGCCAGAACCGCAAGAGGATTCTGTCGAGCGATACCCACATGGCGGACCTGAAGACCCTCTTCCAGATGGTCGAATCCCGAAGCAGCGAAGAGTCACTGCAGAAGGCCGAGACGATGGATTTGAGCGAGCTGGGTCAGAAGACCGTCGACTTCGGCAAGAAGTACTTGAAGAAGACCTTCCAGACAGCCTTCCAGGACAAAAGCTACGTGAAGTGGTGCATCATCGACCACGTGGATCCCGACAAGAGCACACCAGAGATGAGGGAGTTTATGATCTACCTCCGTCGAATGCTGGAGAAGGAGGCAGCCTCCCTAGCTCAGCCACTGAGCAAGAAGTCCGAGGCGTCCGGAAAAGAAAGTCCTCCAAAGGGACAAGTCAACTTCACGAGGAACAAGACCAAGATGGTGAACGTGAACCCAGAGGACCAGGCATCAGCTTCCGTCGACCCCCTGATGGAGAGGAAGGGATATCCCAAGCCAGAGAGCGAGATCTGCGAGTGGGACCATGTCCTGATCGACGAGAACCCAGCCCAGGTCGAGATCATGGAGGGAGAGATGATGAACCTCCAACACCGCATGAGCCAAGTGGAAGGGATGCTGAACGAGATTGTGTGCTACATGCGGGCACAGCAGACAGAACCCCGCAGCCAGTGAAATGTTTAAAGGCTGCTGCATCCATGCTCCAGAGCCGAACTGTTCTGGATTTCTCCGAGGTTGTCGGACAACCTGATCAGATTTCCTTTTCACACGCGACTGCATCCTCTTGTGTGAAAACCGAAGAATTGTTCAGCATGTATGTGAACCAAACTCATGTAGTGGAAATTGAGTTTGTTATTGCTCCTAGGGATGTTCACTGCAAGAAAGGAATCTGGGTTTTGAATCAGAAGGTCAAGAAACATGCTGAGGTTGTCTATAGGCAGCTAAGTAAAGAGGATCAGGTGGAGTTTGATCGTGCCATGAAGAAGGAAATCGATTCCTATATTTCAAGTGAAGCTGTGGCGATTTGCGAAGCGTACGGCATTCCTCGAGAGCGTATCATGCAGATGCGGTGGGTTCATACTTGGAAAGTAGATCATGACGAACATGGTAAGGACAGTAGTAGAAGAGCGAAAGCTAGGCTTATCGTGAAGGGTTTTCAAGATCCCCGACTTTTGCATCTTCCTCGGGAAAGTCCTACTTTAAGTAGTATGGGTCGAAATCTCCTGCTCTCCGCCGCTGCTAGGAACCGTACAAAACTTTGCTCAGGAGACATCAAAACAGCTTTCCTACAGGGCCGTCACTCCGAGCTGAATGAGAATATATATGGAGAACCACCTCCGGAAGTTCGCAAGGTCCTTCAAATGACTCCTACTCAGGTCCTTCGAATATCTAAGGCCATCTATGGTTTGTTGAATGCTCCAAAACAATGGTTCGAATCCATTTGCAGTTTTCTGAAGGAACAGGGTTGGATTCAACATCAATTGGATCAGTGTCTTTTCAAGCTTCCAGGTTCGCAGGATGAGGTTCTAGGGTATATTGGACTTCATGTGGACGATGTTTTGACCACAGGACAAGGACCAGTCTATAAGCGTGCCCTGCAGGATTTGAAAACAAAATTCACTTTGGCACTTGGGAAGACGCCCAACAGAGCACCATCATTTACTGTGGTTGTGAAATACTCCAAAAGGATGATTTCTCGATTACAGTGAGACAAGAACATTTTTGCAAGGACATTTCAGACATTGTTCTGTCGCCCGAGCGAAGGTCCCAAAGCCAAGATCCAATCACCCAGCAGGAAAGAACAGAGATGAGACAAAAGCTGGGAGGTTTGAACTGGCGTGCAACTCAGTCTGCACCTTGGATGCTTGCCACAGTGTCCTTGGTGCAGGGGTGTGTAGAAAGCGGCACAGTAGCTGACCTTTTCTGAGTGTGAACAAGTTGATTCGACTTCATCGTAAACATGCTCATGAAGGTTTGTACTTTCCCCCTTTAGAAAAGGATGTTACCTTAGTTACCTTCACTGATGCGTCTTGGGCATGTAGGAAGGATCACAGTTCACAGGGTGGTCAGATCACCCTACTCATGGAAAAGTCTGTGTTGCAAGGTAGTAAAACGCCTTTCCATGTCATTTCCTGGAGCAGCCGAAAGTTGAAACGAGTGGCGCGAAGCTCCACAAGTGCGGAATCCCAAATGTGCGCCAATGCGTTGGATCTCCAATTTTGTAAACTCTCATTCTTGGAAATGGAATCTAAGGATCCTGTCTCTCTAAGGAATGCCGATCAGCACCTTCAGAGCTTACCCTCATGTCTTGTGGTAGACGCCAAGAACATCTATGACGGAATTGTCAAGATAGAGTCATCAGGTCTTCAGTTGGAAGAAAAACGAACAGCAATCGAGTTGTTGGCCATAAAGCAACGTCTTCGTCAAGCAGCTATTGCATTGCGTTGGGTGAACTCAGATCAACAGCTCTCAGATGCTCTCACCAAGAGTTGGCAACATGAAGGTTTGATACGTGCACTTCAAGAAGGGAAATGGAGGATTGTCTTTGATCCCTCTTACCAATCGGCTAAAAGAGTCCGTGCTTTGAAGAGATCCAGTCAGGATGAAACCATGTATGCTCTTTTCTGTTTGTGGGATCTGGCGTGTGAAGTTCCAAAGGCAGAGAATCTGTCAATGAATGTTTGGCAAGAAAGAATTTTGACGGATGTGAATTGTGAAGAGTTGCCAACATTCATATGTACGTAACCATTGTACTCAAGCGCTTTGCCCTTTTGACGTCACCAGTCCGATCGCCCTGCCATTGAAAAGTGTGCTGGCTTTCTATCGGATTGGTCCCCGCGGTTTGATCTAACTATATCTAACTATATCGTATCCTTTGAGGTGACGATCTTTGAGCCCGATACCATTCGCAGGGGGGAGCTAGGCAGCGATGGGCGACTGACTCCGTGAAGGAAAACGAAGTGCCCCCAGTGGTTGCTGCAGCTAGGCGAAAGCTTGGTTGGGGCGAGAGCACGCGCCGTGAGCGGTCGAGAACCCCAGACAGGCCTGCTAATTCGCGCACGGTTTTTCAAACGTTAGTGAGAGGTCAGAACGTAGTCAAGGAAAGGGATCGAGCGGTTGTGTTTGATCCTGTGGCTGGCGAGTCAAAGCAGGAGCAAGTCAATGATGGTAACGAGAAAGGGTTTCATCGAAGCGGTATGAGGCTTGTCCTTCATAGCGGAGAAACCCTGACAAAAGCGAGGCTTGACTCACCGTGGGTCCCTGATGTGACGCAAAGTAAACAGTGTAGAGGGCAATCCAGATTGGCCATACAGGTTGCTGGCAGTGCAGAATTGAGGCGAGAGGCCATCAGGTTCCACTCTAGCGAAGGAAGCACTGTTTACCACCTGGGTCAACATCTGCAGAGCCAAAGGGGAGGAGCCACTTCCTTTGACGCCGAACCAGATTAGAGAGAATGCCGCTATTTTGCGCAGCGCAGGATACAGAGCCGTGAAGAGCTATGTCTACGAGGCCAAAGACAGGCGCTCCAGGGCTGGCCATGTGTGGTCGTCGGCCTTGCAGATCGCGCTGCAAGACGCTAAGCGTATGGCGCAGCGGGCTATTGGCCAAGTGGATAGAGCGGGGGAAGTCAAGTTGGAGCTATGGTCAACTTGGTCATCCAGGCTAGGCCGGGTCCCACATCAGAATGAAGCTGCGGATGGGGCGCCCAATGCAGGGATTCTGACTTGGATCATTGGCGCTAAGTATTTGCTACGGGAGGTTGAGCTGGCTTCTCTTACCTTGGACAAGAAGTGTGTGCAATTGGACACCTTGTCAAAGGTGGCTACCTTGAGGTTGCCGGTCAGCAAGACTGATGTGGCTGGTCGAGGCGCGGCGCGTGCTTTAGGCTGTAGCTGCAAGTCAGGCTTTGATATTTGCTGCCCTTTTCATGCTCTGGCCGAAGTGGTTCGCGAGCAATACATAAGGCTCGGCATACAAAGCAGAGAGATGATTCCAGAAGGCACTGGACCTCTTATTGGTCAGCTGGGCAATGCTTCGGCTTATGTCGGCAAGAAAGAAATGATCGAGGAGGCTCAAAGGATGGTTAAGCTGGCCAATATGACTTTCTTGGAGAGCGGTATAGCGGTCGAAACAACCACCGGCCATTTCATGCGACGCTCCGGGGTGAAAGACATGGCAAGAAACGTGCCTCTACAACCATAAAATGGTATGCACGCCATAGCAGCAAGGCGACATGGGACTACATAGAAGAAGCTTGGGGTGACACGCCAGAGCAAGCCCTGAAGCTCAAGAGTGAAGTCGAACTGTCAGAAGCGCTTGCTGGCACTTTGAGACGAGTGGACTGCCTGGAGGAAGCGGTCAAGGCGCAAGCGGAGTTGGTGCAGGCTTCGTTGCGTCATGAAGGATTTGACTTTGACAACGAGGAAGTGAAGAGTGAGATGAGGAAGGAAGCTCGAAGAGCGCTACTTCCGTCGTTTGTCATCAATTTAAGTTCCGGTGCTGTCCATCGACCATGCCACTCCTTTTCCATCTTGGAAGACCCGAAGAAGTGGACGACCAAGTGCGGGTGGCCATGGGTCTTGGGTGACGTGCCATGTAAATTTGTGTATGAAGGGGATGACCTCAACCCTACCACCCGTAAATGCCTGAAGTGTTTTGGAGGGTGAAAGAAAATAGGAGGCAGATTTGAGGCAGGGGTGTTCGCTTGGTTGGTGACCCTTGGGTTTC